GAGTTGATGTTAATTCCAGGGAACCCAAAATGTCATTGTGGTTCTCCTGTTAAAATAGGGGCTTATGGGGAGTTTTAGCTCAGATCCGACATACTGTGATTCCAGTGGCTCCCCAGACTCATCCTGTAGTCATTTCCCCAGTGCCAGAATGCATAATTGGCATAGACATACTTAGCAGCTGGCAGAGCCCCCATGCTGGCCCCCTGACTAGTAGGCTGAGGACTATTATGGTGGGAAAGGCCAAACAGAAGCCAGTAGAGCTGCCTCTACCTAGGAAAATAGTAAATCAAAACCAATATCACATCCATGGAAGGACTGTGGAGATTAGTGATACCACCAAGGACTTGAAAGATACAGGAGTGGTGATTGCCATCACATCCCCTTTCAACTCTCCCATTTGGCCTGTGCAGAAGACAGATCAATCATAGAGAATGACAGTGGATTATTGGAGGCTTAACCAAGTGGTGACTCCAATGCAGCTGCTGTACCAGATGTGGTTTCATTGCTTGAGTAAATTAACACATCTCCTGGCACCTGGCAAGTAGCCATGGACTTGGCAAATGCCTTTTTCTCTATTCCTGTCCATAAGGCCCATGAGAAGCAATTTGCCTTCAGCTGGCAAGGTCAGCAATATACCTTTACTGTCCTACCTCAGGAATATATCAAGTCTCTGGCTTTATGTCATAATCTTATTTGGAGCGACCTTGATGGCTTTTCACTTTTGCAAGATATCACACTTGTCCATTACATTGATGACATTATGCTGATTGGATCCAGTGAGCAGGAAGTAGCAAACACACTGGACTTACTGGTGAGACATTTGAGTGCCAGAGGATGGGAAATAATTCCAACTAAAATTCAGGGACCTTCTACCTCAGTAAAATTTCTAGGTATCCTGTGGTGTGATGCCTGTTGAGGCTTGAAGGATAAATTGCTGCATTTGGCCCCTCCTACAACCAAGAAAGAGTCATGACATCTAGTGGGCCTATTTAGATTTTGGATGCAACACATTTCTCATTTGGGTGTGTTACTGCAGCCCGCTTATCAAGTGACCCAAAAGGCTGCCAGTTTTGAGTGGGGTCCAGAACAGGAGAAGGCTCTGCAACAGGTCCAGGCTGTCATGCAAGCTGGTCTGCCACTTGGGCCACATGAACCAGCAGATCCAATGGCACTTGAGGTGTCAGTGGCAGATAGGAATGCTGATTGGAGCCTCTGGCAGGCCCCCATAAGTGAATAACAGTGGAGGTCTCTAGGATATTGGAGCAAGGCCATGCCATCTTCTGAAGATAACTACTCTCTTTTTGAGAGATAACTCTTGGCCTGTTACTGGGCTTTGGTGGAAACTGAACTTTTGACTATGGGTCATCAAGTCACCATGTGACCTGAACTGTCTATCATGAACTGGGTGCTTTCTGACCCATCTAGCCATAAAGTAGGTCATGCATAGCAGCATTCCATCATCACATAGAAGTGGTATATTTCTGATCGGGCTTGAGCAGGTCCTGAAGGCACAAGTTACATGAGGAAGTGGCTCAAATGCCCATGGTTGCTACTTCTGCTGCCCTGCCTTCTCTCCCCCAGCCTGCACCAATGGCCTCATGGAAAGTTCCTTATGATCCGTTGACAAAGGAAGAGAAGACTCTGGCCTGGTTTACAGATGGTTCTGCAAGATATGCAGGTACAACCTTAAAGTGGACAGCTGCAGCACCACAGCCCCTTTCTAGGACATCCCTGAAGGACAGTGGTGAAGAGAAATCTTCCTAGTGGGCAAAACTTTGAGCTGTCCACTTGGTTGTGTACCTTGCATGGAAGGAGAAATGACGATATCTGTAATTACATACTGATTCATGGGCTGTAGTCAATGGTTTGGCTGGATGGCCAGGGACTTTGAAGAAGCATGATTGGAAAATTGGTGACAAAGAAATTTGGGCAAGAGGTATGTGGATGGACCTCTCTGAGTGGTCAAAAACTGTGAAGGTACTTGTATCCCATGTGAGTGCTCACCAATGGGTGACCTCAGCAGAGGAGGATGTTAATAATCAAGTGGATAGAATGATCTGTTCTGTGGACACCACTCAGCCTCTTTCCCCAGCCTCCCTTGTCATCGCCCAATGTACCCATGAACAAAGTGGCCGTGGTGGCAGGGATGGGGGTTACACATGGTCTCAGCAACATGCACTTCCTCTCCCCAAGGCTGATCTGGATATGGCCACTGCTGAGTGCCCAATTTGCCAGCAGCAGAGACCAACACTGAGCCCTCGATATGGCATCATTCCTTGGGGTGATCAGCCAGCTCCCTGGTGGCAAGTTGATTACATTGGATATCTTCTGTAATGGAAAGGGTAGAGGTTTGTCCTCACTGCAAAAGGCACTTACCCTGGATATGGATTTACCTATTCTGCATGCAACGCTTCTGCCAAGACTACCGTCTGTGGACTCACTGAATGCCTTATGCATCATCACGATATTCCACACAGCATTGCCTCTGACCAAGGCACTCCCTTTACTGCTAAAGAAGTGTGGCGGTGGGCTCATGATCATGGAATTTACTTGTCTTACCATGTTCCCTATCATTCTGAAGTAACTAGATTGATAGAATTGTGGAAAGGCAGTTGAAATCACAATTACAATGCCAATGAGGTGACAATACTCTGCAGGGCGGGGGCAAAGTTCTTCAGAAGTTCTTCATGTATGCTCTGAATCAGCATCAAATATATGGTACTGTTTCTCCCATAGCCAGGATTCATGGGTCCAGGAATCAAGGGGTGGAAGTGGAAGTGGCATCACTCACCATCAGCCCTGATGATCCACTAGAAAAAATTTTGCTTCCTGTTCCTGCGACATTACGTTCTGCTGGCCTAGGGGTCTTAGTTGCAGAGGAAGGAACACTGCCACCAGGAGATACAACAACAATTCCATTAAACTGGAAGTTAAGATTGCCATCTGGACACTTTGGGCTCCTTCTACCTTTAAATCAATAGACTGAGAAGGGACTTACAATGTTGGCTGGGGTAACTGACTCAGACTATCAAGATGAAATCCATCTACGACTCCACAACGGAAGTAAGAAAAAGTATGCATGGAATATGGAAGATCCATTAGGGTATCTCTTAGTATTACCATGCCCTGTTATTAAGGTCAATGGCAAAGCCCAATCCTGAAGGGTGTGGGTCATTTGTAGTCCTGTCTGAGTGACACACTTAATTATTATATCTATACACACTTCTGCATAATCTGTGAATATAAAAACATTAAAATACAAATAAAATGATAAATTATTGCATATCAAAATTTGAGATATAGCTGAAACAGTACTTAGAGAAAAAGTTATAAACTTAAATATTTATATTGGAAATGAAAAACAACTGAAATTAAATGACAATAGTATTTATCTGAAGTAGATGGAGAGAGAACAGAATAAGCCTAAGGAAACTAGAAGGAAAGAAACATTAATGAAATCATGGCAGAAGTTAATACAATGGAAAAGAAAGATATAATCAAGGGGATAAAACTAAAAGTTTGTTGTTTGAAACAAAATTAATCAAGAAAAAATGCAAAAGGCAACAATAAACAGCAAATAATGTTAGGGATAAAAAGGGACTATAGAAACTGATTGAAAAGAGATTAAAAAGAATAAGAGGATATCTGAAATAACATATGCCCATTGATTGAGAAATTGAGATAAAATGAGAAATTTCCTAGAAAGATAAAAATAAATTAAACCTTCTCAGGAAGAAATTGAAATCCAAATGATACATTGAATCAGTAATTAGAAGTCTTTCCACAAAGAAAATATCAGTTCCAGATGGGTTTACATGTGTCTTTTACCATATATTTAAAGAACATAAATAATCAATTAAAAGCCTCAATAAAATCTTTTAAGTGCAAAGACAAATAAATAAAACTGCCCAACTGGTAATTAAGACTAGTATAGAGTTCTTACTAAGAAGAACAAAACATAAGAAACGAGTCTTATGAGTCAATTTCACTAGTAAACAATGATGTAAAATCTTAGAAATATTAACAATGTATGAAAGAATTAATAATGTATAAATGACATGACACATCATGGCCAAGATATATTTATTCTAGGAATGCAAGATTATTTCAATATCAGAAAATCTCTTTTAAACATTCATTTGCTAATAAAATTTATTGAATTACAGATTTTAAAAGGAAAGTCATATGATTTTCTCAATATAAAATCTACTATGTATAAAAATTTGATAAATTTTACATAATTTATGATAAAAAATGTATGTAATGGAAGTTCCTTATTGTAAAAAAAAGGTATCTATAAAAAAATAAACAAAACAGAAAAGTGATAGTATATATCAGACTGAACACTGAAACAATAGACTGAAACAACAGACTCAACACTGAAACAATTGCTTTAGTTGCAATGAAAACAAGGCAATAATGTCACTCTCCACATAATTCCAATGTGGAATTATTATTCCACATTGCTCTCAGCATTAATAACAATAATATAACCATAATAATCACAAATACAAATGAATATAAGATTCAAGGTTTGTACAGGAAGATACAAAACTTTAATGTTTAATATGCAAAATATTCTCTATAGAAAACATTAAAGAATTCATAAGAGAAGTTAACACTTTATTTAGGAAATTAAATAATTTTTTGAAGCTATTACCTAAATAACTGGAGAAACATACAGTGTTCATATAGGGAGAGAATCAATAGCATAATGATTTCAGTTCTATTTATTTTATAGTCTCAGTACAATGCCAAAGAATCAGAACGAGATATTTTCACAGAACTTGTCAAGCTGATTCTAAAATTTATGTGGGTGAGCAAACTGAAAATTAACAGTGAAGATACTTGTAAATAATAATAAGAGTAATGACATAGTAACAAATAAGTATGTGGTACTTACTGTCAGGAACCATTCTAAGTGTTATGCAGTTATTAATTTATTCAATCACAGAAAACCTACACAATAAGTTCTATTATTTTCTCATTCTGTCTTGTAGATACCGAACTGGAGCCCAGAGAAGCTAGGTAACTTGCTGAAGAGACACTGTGACAGAGGGAAACCCTAATACACAGCACTGGAGCACACCTCTACAACACACTTCTGGAATAAGAGAATATAAGGAGAACCATCTCTGCCAGAATCGAGATTTGTTACAAAGTTATGGTAATTGCGACATTGTGATGTTGGTACAGGATAGATCGAAAGATCAGCATGATAGAAAAGAGAACCCAGAAACGGACCAGTATATCAAATAAAAGACTAAACATGAAAGTTTATGCCCTAAGTCAATGGGGGAAACAATGGACAAGTCAACAAAATTACATTTAGAAAATTGGTTACATAAATGATATTTTTTTAAAAAACTGAAATAATTTCCTCCTTCATACCAGTCACAAACTTAATTTCAGAAAGAATAAGGACTTCCACTTTAGAAGGCAAATCTTTGAAACATATATATAGGAGGAGATAGGATAATTTATTTATGTCTTATTTCCTCACATATATATAATGTTATGTATAAAATATATAATGTTATAATTAAACACATATATAATGTTACATATTATATATAATGCTATAATCAGACATATGTTTATATAAACATGTAATTAAATATATAAATGTTTAATTATATAAATATATAATGCTAATGTAATAATATAATGTTAAATGTTATAATTAAACATATATATGTTTATAACATTAATTTTTAAATATTCTATATAGAGAGGATATTAATAATTATTATATATACTATTATATATTACATATAAGTATTAATATAATAATTATATTAATTTATTTATATTCTAATTTCTTTATGTCCTATAGAAAGAGAGAGAGGGAAGGGGAGGATCTATGACAATTTATTTATATGTATACATAAACATATATTATATAAAAATACATATTAGACATTATATACTACATAAAATATATATTATATATAATATATAATCACACATCCCCTATATATGTAAGTATATGTTATGCATATATATGAGATATATACTTACATATATATAGGAGATGTAGGAAAATTTCTTTATAGTCTCTGGGTAAGAATGATTTCTTAGTATACAGAAGTGCAGTATATAAAAAAAAGATTGATATATTTTGATTACATTAAAATGTATACATTTTTTGTTCATCAAAGACAACATAGAGAGAAAGGAAAAGCCACAAACTGGGAGAAAACTGCAACACATATAACTGTTGAAGAACTTGATTTTATACTGTCTTGACAATAAAAGTGAAATAATGTTGAGAAAAGTCCTTAATTTCTACCTTCATCATTTATTTCTGAAGCACATCTTTATAGTTTATATAAGCTCATAGAAAATTAATATTCCACAAAGTAATAAAAATTTTAATTTCATTTTTACCAATCTAGGATTAAAGGTAACTGTGTTAGTATATTTAAAGCTTTGATTTTGAAGCAGCTATTTGGGGTGCCTTCCACGAAATAATCTCATTCTAGTATAGTTACATTAAGGACGTTATATAGGGCCCTATGTTATAATGCTAAGAACACAAAAGAAATCCTGAAGATCAGCTTGCCAGTGCCATTTCACCTCATTTCTCCCTTTGTTATGTTGCCAGTATTATTTGCAAAGTCTGATTCAGACTAAATTTGGTATAAGACAAAGGAAAAAACTAAAGGTCAGGTCAAACTGCATTGATGAAACTAGATAAAATATATGAACACTTCCAATACCCTCTCATTCTTGAAAACTATTCCATTAGTGTGGTTTTGACTGGTATTTTTAAGTTTCTCCTAGAGGCCCTCATGGTGATCAACAAAAGAACTTGTCATATAAGAACTATATCTCTTATTTATATGAACTGTTATATGAATTCCCCATGCTCTGTCTCTCAAGGTGGTGGAAAGATTAGAAGGGGAGGACAGAGTAAAAAGCAGTGATGCTCAGTCACTGTAGAAAATGCTGCCTAGTGGCCTGACATAGAGGGGATTTGCCTGCCTATTTGGTGTATGTAATTTGGTTCTGGCTCTATAGGACTTTTGGACTTGGTCTGCAGTATCCACCTTAGGCCTATGCAGTGGGGGCCCCCTCACTTAGACTTGCTTTCCTCTCAAGTTTCTAACTCCTCCTCCAGTGACCAGGATAGCCTGGCCAGCACTGTGTGGATGGAGCCTGGACCTCGTCTTGTGTGAATACTTGTCTCTGTAAGTTCCTACCTTGAAATTTTCTAAGTCCCCCTCATGGTTCTCGGTAGAGCTACTGGTGCCCCATTTTGCTGTTGTGCTCCATGCCCTGCCTAAGACCCACCTAGGGCATGGCCATATTTCTTCCTTCATGCTGTGACCCCTCTACCTGGCATGTAAGGTCACACACAGATGGCCCAAGGGTCCCCTGGACTCATGCCTGTAGGATCATCTTTTTGCAAGTCTTGCATTATTTTCCTGGGGATTTACTTACCCCTCAAAACTGGTGCTGACACGCTGGTATTGAGTGACTCATACCCATATGGGACATGGACCAGACCAGTTCAGGGCTCTAGCCTACTGAAGGTCCACAGCCAACCTTTGGATTCGAGTTATGTAAAGTTTAGTTACTGTGGCTCATACAGGGTCTCTCACATGCCCATGTTGTGGTTAAATGCTGGCTCCTAGACACAGCGTCCAAGAGTTGCTGGAGTGAGCCTTACCCCATACCCATGCTGCTGGCCTCCAGGCCAGATATCCACAACTCCACAGTCTCTGCACCACATAATAAGCAGTCCCAGTTGGTATCCTCTCATGGCCACTTATGTGTTGCCATTATGCTCTCCCTCTGACTGGACAGGAATGAACATTCCTTAAGAAAAGACCTCCCTTCTTGCTTGACCACAGGCAGGTGATCAACTCTAGTCTTTTCACTGGTGGTAAGTAAGAAAGGGTTCCTGGACACTGAAAGAGATCTCATTTCAGAATTTGGTAATTACAGACTAAAATGTTCAAAGGAATGCATGGTTGGAAGATGAAGTTTTCTAACTTTTTATGATAAAATTCTGATTGGTAAATTTAAATTGACCATAAAACAAATTGCCATTCATGTTTTTCTGCATGTGGTCATTGTCAAGGCAGGGTACTAGCAACTTTTGAGAGGGTCATTGGAAGCCCCCATTGGAGCAAAGCATCATTACATATGTTATTAGGGAATTGTAGAGGCAAGGAGGTCTATACAGATTCAATGAAAACATGCTCTGAATAATGTGATTTTTAAATAACAACGACGTTTTTGCCTTTGTCTCCAAGTGGGAAATATAACATTAGCAAGGAATAGTGTTTACAACAGTAGAGAACATGGAGCAATGAGGCCCAGATACCTCAAGGAATCTTCACATGCCCTATTCGGACAATAAAATACCTCAGTCTCTCCTCTTGTCTTGTTATTATCCTCCCATTACCTCTCATGGGTCCAGTAGTTTTGTAATACTTTTTTTTTTTTTTAAATCCAAACTGTTTGTAGAGGTAAGACCTCAGATCCTGCACTTTATGGGGGCAGAATACTCTATATTCACTTGTTTCTTTAAAATTATATCAAAGGCATTCCTAGTTCTTCAAGTCACTATTTACCTAGACACATCATTCAGCTGGAGTAGGAGAATTATTACGATTATCATATTTGAAATGTAGAAACTGAAGGAAAATTTTTAGTGACTAGTCCAAAATCATAGTAGCTCATCTGGAAATGAAACATATTTTTGTCAGTGTTCTAATATATTTCTTCTATTTTAAGATAGTGAAATGGCATTAAAGTAACTTTATCTCAGGTACTAGTAACAGAAAAGAGCAAAGCATATTTTATCGAAGCAGTATAAGCTCCTAGCGATGTATTCACGATTCATTGCCTGGCAATTTCAATCCGTATCTGGGAGCATATAATACTGACTACAAATGCAATTGGAAGGCAGAAGCTAATGGTGTGAGAGGAATGAGGGGACATTCCCAGATACAGTGGAATGCTTGAAGTGGAATTGTGCCACTTTTTCTCCTTCCATGCATTGTATACGATGAAGAAGCCCCTCTGTATCTCAAGACTTCCCTCTTCAAGTCTTGAAAAAAATTTATTGGAAATATATTAATGTTTAATAGCTTTCTTCATGTGAGCCTATTATACCCTTTAAAATAATCCACTAGGATTGAGGTACATCCACCAGAACTTACGTAAAGCAGGTGGCAATGTGGTGCAATCAAAGACCATGGGTATTGGAGTAAGATAAATCTGAGTTTGAGTCCTAGCTTCAGCCACTCTCCAAGTACTCACCTACAAATGTGACATAAAAATGCTTACTTCACAAACAGATAATGGAGGCAAAGCACCTGCCATACACATATGTTCAATACAAAGTGCTTATCACTACTAGCTCACTGTGTAAGTCCTTTGCTGATGCTAGTCATCATACTTAATAAGTATTATTTTCTGTGTGTCATAAATCTAGGCGGAATGGAACCATGGATGTTTGGAAGAGACATTGGTAAATACTTCTTCATTCACATAATCTATGCTACCACTATGGCCTGAGAAATTCACATGCTTGCAAGGAGGCTAAATTAACTGAGTGGACTGAAGAAGGCTAATGAGTAAAAGAAACAGATACTTAAAAAATTCAACCATTTCTGCATAATATTAAAAATTATTCTCAGATGCTTACAGTCAAATTTTAGTTGGAAAAAGTCGTAAAAACAGGTGTGAGATACAATAAGATGGTTAATTTTTTAAATTAATTCATCAGAATCCTTTGAGTGAGCAGGCAGTCATAAATACATATGTGGAAAATCTTCTTACACTATTCTCTTTTTTCTCCCCTAACACCCATTCTTTTCTACATGTCAGACTTTTTTTATTTATCTGTATTAGGTTTATTTTTATTGACAAATTGTAATTGTATGCATTTATGGAGTATATTGAGATGTTTTGTTATATATATACAATAGGAAATAATTAAATCAAGCTAATTAACATATCCATCATCTTATTACCTATCATTTTTATGGTGAGACATCTGAAATCAGTTATCTAAAATATCTTAGTTATTTTGAAATATACAACACTTATTATTGATTATAGTCACCTGGCTGTACAAGATATGGCAAAACTTATTCTTCCTGTCTATCTGAATCTTTGTACCCTTTGCCCAGCAATTGCCCATTCTCTTCCCCTGCTTCCCCTTCTCCCCTCCAGCCCTGTGACCACTACTCTATGCTCTCTGCTTCTGTTATTTCAACTCTTAGATTATAAAGATAAGTGAGATCATGTGGCATTTGTCTTTCTGTGTCTGCTTATTTCACCTAGCACAAGGTCCTTCAGGTTCACCCATGTTGTCGAAAATGACAGAATTTTCTTCTTTTTAAAGGCTAATAGTATTTCACTGTGTGTGTATGTATATACCATTTTTTTCTTTATCCATTCATT